AAGAAATATCTCGTATTAGTATAAAATGCAGTCAGTCTGTGCTGCAGTCTATGAGTCTATAAATTACCCTCCGATTCTAATGCGGGTAGCCCTTTTGTAATAAACCCATCAAAAGCAAGGGTTCTAGGGAGCAGAGATGGAGGGAGATTGGTCTTGGGCTCTCATGAGATGGTAGCTGGAGATCCACCAGAAGTTCTACTCTCAGTGCACAGCACTAATTCACAGTCCCATCTTCTCAAACCAACTCAGTCTTTGAGTATAAATGAAATCTCCAAACAACAGAGCTGGGCCCTTAAGACCCATATGTAAACTGTCACCCCTTCTAACAGTCATCTCCTTCTTTGCCACATGAATCCCCGGGTGTGGTTTTCTTCTTTCAGTTTCTCTTTCTGATTATTCATCTCTGTGGTGATGACAGAGCACCCTTGGGTAACTCAGAGGAAATCAGCCCAAACACCCAGCTCCAGCCTTGACCAAGTCCCTGCGAACTGAGATTCCATTCCATGGCTTTTTTTGTCTTCCCCATGGTCTATATTTCCATAGGCCAGATCAGACCACAGCTCCCAAAATATCTGCATTCCTTTGGTAACAGGAATTCATAAAAATTTAGTGCTGGAGTCACGGGTTAGATAAAGGGCATAGGAGTTTTCCTTACGAAGAATCCTGTAGGACTTGAAAATGGGTGCTGTGGATTTCTGAGGGGGATAAAGTGGGCAGCAGCTCTCCACCTAGCCCTGGCAGCACAGGCTCTTCCGCAGGGACTTTCTCACCCTCTCCCACAGCCAGGTGCGTCCATTGCCAAAGAATCAGGCCTGCATCTCCAGTTCTCCTTCAGACTGAGGTAGCACCTGCAAGTCTTTCTTCCCAGAGAACTGGGGGACTCGGCTCCCTTTTTAATTTGGTTGGCTCTGTTTTCCAGACATTTACCAAAAGTGAAGAATACCAGCACTGTCTTGGTGAGAAGGGTAATATCACACCCAACTTCCCTCAGATACCTGATATTTACTTGGTTGCCCTCAGATATATATATTTTTTTGCGGTACGCGGGCCTCTCACTGTTGCGGCCTCTACCATGGCGGAGCGCAGGCTCAGCGGCCATGGCTCACGGGCACAGCCGCTCCGCGGCATGTGGGATCTTCCCGGACCGGGGCACGAATCCGTGTCCCCTGCATCGGCAGGCCGACTCTCAACCACTGCGCCACCAGGGAAGCCCCCCTCAGATATTTTTAATTGGGGTTAGCTCTTCCTGACACTGGTCTCACGGAGATGTGACAAGTTCACATTTCTTCCTGGTTGTGCTTGCCCCTCCCCAGCTCCTCTCCCAAGCCCTGCCTCTCCATCATATCTGTAACCCTTTAATAACTGAGTTGAGGGAACTCCTCCCTGCAGCCACAGTGGGCTCTTTAAATCTAAAAAGTATTATTAAATAGGGTAGGAAACACACAAAGTACAAAATCTGAATAGCAAACAAAAATACGCCAAGGAAAGTAAGCTCCTCTCCCACACCCAACCCCATCCTACCTAGGTTTCTCCCTGGGATGTTACCTTAAGAAGTCAGGTTTACTTTCCCAGCTCATCATTCCAAAGCAATGTTTTTCACGCAAAACTCTCCTGCTCCAGAACCTACAATGACCCCCTACTCCCATATCACTTGATTTTAATGCCCTTGACGTCCAAAAATTTTCTTGCAAATATTGTCTCTTTTGCCATTTCTTCAACTTGATGCTAAGCAGGTTGACGTCTTTATCAAATAACCACGACAGGTTTCGTTCCCCTCCATGTCTCTGCTGATTCTCCCAGCTGGAATGCCTTTTCCACTCTGCTCTTGCTTTGAAGATCTAGCTCACATCGTACTCCTTTCAAAGTCTTCATGATTATTCTGGCCTCTTCACCTCCCTCCTGTTGGTTGCCCAGCCCTGACCATCCATTCCAGCCCATCACCATGTGCTTCTTGCCTAAGTCTTTCTGTTTCTTACACACTCATCCATTCTCCCCACTGTGACCATAAGCTCCTCAGGGTAGGAGCTTTAATATATGCTTTCTCTGAATCCCACACAATGTCTAGCCTCACTGGGTACATTGATCTCAAGCCATGGGCTAACACAGTGCCTGATATCTAGTAATCTCCATAAGTTATCTGCTGAATGAATAAAGGAGCAAGGGAAAGGAGTGAGTTCTGGGATACCCCATCACCTTTCTCAGTGGCCCGGGATGACAGCGCTCCCATGAACAACATTCCCCGTCACTGTTTGTGATGGCCACGCCTCCACTGCTACCAAGTGGATCTCAGCAGAGGCACTCCTCCGATCTCACCGTCACCTGCCCTCACACACATTACTTCAAATCCGAAACGCCCCACCTCTGACCATAACCCCCAGGTCTTCTACCTCTCCCCACACTGCTAGCACACCTGCCCCTCACCTCATCCATGGCTACCTGACTCCTCTCCAACGCCTCTCCATGGGGCCTCCTGGACCATCAACCCCTCGCAGACTCACTACCGCTGCCCACTTTGCACCCTGAAGCTGGCTGAGCTGCCCCTAGAACCCCTTGCCCCAGGCCTTCTGCTGCAACTGACTTCCCGGGTGACCTGGTCACTGTCCTGCCTGGCAGCTGGGGAGAAAGGAAGCCTCCCAAGCCCACCCATTGGTCTGACTGCCCCCAGACCCTCACTGCTGTGCTGCGATCCCTCCACTCCAACCACTCACCCAGGAGCTTTCATGAAAGTCAGCAACTCGTTCAACCAAGCCAAAGGTCTCGACTGCTGCCTCCCGCTTTGCCCCCTTGCAGCTCTAGCACGTGGCCTCCCCCTCGGACCCCTAACAGGGCGCCGCCTGGGTCTCCTCCTGGCTCCTCTGCCTCACCCACCACTCGAAGGCCTTCAGCTTCTCTTTCTTGGTGACCTCAAATGCTCAGGGAATCCATCACTGTTCTGACGAAGATGCTCCCCAACCTGTAACCCCAGCCCCTAAAGCCACTTCTCCAATATGCTGGACGCCCCTATCCACGTGATGTGCCCGCACCCCAGACTCAGCCTGTCAGAGCACAAGTTCACCTTCCCAAACAAGGGCCCCGCCTGAGTCCTCCGCTGTGCCTGCCATGCTGCCAAGGGTCAGAATTCCTGTCCCTTTTGGCTTCTTTCTTTCAAAAAAACTAATTAATTAATCAATTAATTAATTAATTTTTATTTTTGGCTGTGTTGGGTCTTCGTTGCTGTGCGTGGGCTTTCTCTAGTTGTGGCGAGCGGGGGCTGCTCTTCATTGTGGTGCATGGGCTTCTCATTGTGGTGGCTTCTCTTGGTGCAGAGCACAGGCTCTAGGCACGCGGGCTTCAGTAGTTGTGGCGCACAGGCTTACTCCACGGCACGTGGGATCTTCCCGGGCCAGGGCTCGAACCCGTGTCCCCTGCAGTGGCAGGTGGATTCTTAACCACTGCTCTGCCAGGGAAGCCCCTTGGCTCCTTTCTTGAAGAATAATCATAACCATAATAGCTAACATTTACTGAGCACCATTATGAGCCCGTCACTCTTCTAAGTATTTTGCTTACAATAACTTGTTTGTACCTATTATTTCTCTGCTATTATTACCTACACTATCATTGTGATTTCTATACTATTGTTATGCCCATTGTCCACAGAAGAAAACTGAGGTGGCAAAGAGTTTAATTGACTTGTCCGAGGGCTGTGAGAGACAGAGCTGCCATTTAACCCCAGGGAGTCTGGCACCAGACTACACTCTCCACTGAGACTTTGTTCATACGATATCCATACTTTCTCTGAAACCTAGCCCTCCTTCATTTCTGCCATGACCACCCTGATTCAACCTCTCCTCTGCTTGGCTGGATTATTTCATTTATCCACCAACCAGTGTCCCCATCTCTAGCCTCTTGTCTATTAATTCACCCTATGCTTTACCAGCAGAGAGATCTTTCCAAAGCATAGCTCTGCTCAAAAATCCTCAGTGGGGACTTCCCTGGAGGCACAGTGGTTAAGAATCCATCCACCTGCCAATGCAGGGGACACGGGTTCGATCCCTGGTTGGGGAAGATCCCACATGCCGCGGAGCAACTGAGCCCATGAGCCGCAACTACCGAGCCTGCGCTCTACAGCCCGTGCTCCGCAACGAGAGAAGCCACCGCAAAGAGAAGCCCCCGCTTGCCGCAACCAGAGAAAGCCCACACGCAGCAACGGAGACCCAACACAGCCAAAAATCAATCAATCAATCCTCAGTGGTTTCCCAGAAAAAAATCACCCAACCTCTCGGCAACTCTCTCTCAATATCTTGGCCTGGCTCAACCTCTATCCCACCAACATACGCTGCCCCCAAGAGGGATGACTTGCCACCCCCTACCCTGCCTTTTACAGCCCTGGGCCTTTACTCTTCCCTTCATCCCTCAAAGCCCGGCTCGTGGGCCCCTGCCTCCTGACCACGGGGACTCTGCCAGAACAGGGCCTTCTGGAGCCTCCTTACGGCAACTGACTTCACCCACCGCCACCGTTCATTGTGTTTGGATCCTATCTTTTGTTCACGATACGGGCCCAGCTCTGACCCTGGCTCCTGAAGTGAACCCTATCCTTGGCTCAATTTTCCTGGGATGGGAGAAGGAGGGAGCAGATTGTGGTGGGTAACAGGATAACTCTTGGAGTCTGAAGACCTAGATTTGAATCCCAGCTCTACATTTATGAGCGATGGGACCTGACTTCTCCGAGTCTCACGTTTGCTGTCTCTAAACAAGCTGTAAAGATACCCCCTTGCAAAGCTCACTGAGAGGGTTCAATGAGATGTTACATGGGAAGTCGCCATTTGGTGCTTAATGAACCGTGGTGAGTATATCTGCTGATGTAACTTATTACTGTTCAAGGCAACTAACTGACAGATAAGTAGAATCTGGCTCCCCAAGGAACAGGCCCTCTACATCAGGCTGTTCTGCTTCTAGTGCACGATATACAATGCACCCACTGAGCAGTCTGCAGGACACTTACCTAGTTCTCCGTGTTTATCTGCTATGGGCGTCCCAGAAAACCTACAAATGAAGACATTTGCATCTCAGTTAAAGAGCTGAAAAGAAAAGCTGGAATCTGGAGTTGCTGGCTAGAGGCCTGAACTGGGAAAATTCTAAAGCAGAGCCCTGTCGAGCTGGTATTTCCTACTCTCCTAAATGCTTGCATCAAATTGGCCATAGAGTTGGGCCAAAGAGTTGTTCGAAAACTGGTCATCAGATGATAGAAAAACAAAAATTGTTGACGAACGTTTTTTTCTATAGCAGCTTGTGCATAAAGCCAAAGATGGAGGGAAGGCTGGAATGTTCTGGGCCAGCGCTGCCTGATAGGGATATAATGTGAGCCACGTAAGTAATTTAAAATGCTTAGTAGCCACATTACACAGTAAAAAGAAATGGATGGGGACTTCCCTGGCGGTCCAGCGGTTAAGACTCTGTGCTTCCACTGCAGGCGGCACGGGTTCAATCCCTGGTTGGGGAACTAAGATCCCGCATGCCACGCAGCACAGCCAAAACATTAATAAAATAAAATAAAGTAAAATAAATAAAATAAAATAAAAATAGTAGAGCAATTATATTTAAAAAAAAGAAATGGATGAAATTAATTTTCATGATACATTTCATTGACTAGCCCAACAAATCAAAGATACTATTTTAACGTGTAATCAATATAAACATTATTAATGAGATACTTTACATTCCTTTTTTAATAAGAAGTCTTACAAACCCGGTGTCTATTTTATACTGATGGCACATCTCAATTTGGACTCTCCTGTTTCAAGGGTTCAACAGCCACATGTGGCTCGTGGCTACCATTTTGGACAGCACCGGTTTGGACGTTAAGATACGGTCCCACGTGTATGCATCAGTTTCCTCCCCATCGAAGGCATCAGCTAGCCTGGAGCCATGCTAATGGTCCAGAAGCCAAGTCCACAGGCTTGACTGAGCTTGTAAAAGTGTCAACTACAACTAGCCGATGGAGCTGTTTACATTCAACTCTCTCCCCTTCTGAAGGCTCCATGTCAAATGCCTCACTTTCCCAATTCATGGCTTTAGGGTTGAGATGCTTGCTGAAGTAATTATTTCTTAGAACAATTTGTTTTTCCAGGTTATATGGTGCTACCAGTAGTGATCACTGGTGTAAGTTTCCCTCCACTGAATAAACTTATTTTTTTTTTTTGCGGTACACGGACGCGGGCCTCTCACTGTTGTGGCCTCTCCCGTTGTGGACCGGGGCACAAACCCGTGTCCCCTGCATCGGCAGGCGGACTCTCAACCACTGCGCCACCGGGGAAGCTCAAACTTTTTTTTTTTTTTAGTAAGTTAAATCAGACAGAAAAGTCTTCAGTGCTACTTTTCTCCGGTTCAGGAGTTCTGGTGGTAGACACCCCTCCTCCCTCCCAAGAAAAACACATGAGTGGAAAATTATTTTGGTTTATGGGGACCAATCTGTTAAGGAGATGATTAACTATAATATCGCTATTAAATATCGCTATTAAAAATAACTTTTTAAAAAGAACACCTGAGCTCCCCAAATGTTTTACGTATTGGTAATGATGGCTTAAAACTTTCTTCAGCTGATTTTTTTATAACTTGTTTGGAGGAGATTCAGTTGACTGGTAATCTATAACTTAGGGATCTTCGTGGTATTTGAAACCTATAATATAGAAATGGAACCTTCGGGAAATCATATTCTAGTGCCAATACCCCAAAAAAGTCTAGGTCAGCACTGACCAACAGAACTTTCTGCAATGATGGAATTGTTCTCTATTTGGTCTCATATGGTAGCCACTAGCCATCTGTGGCTACTGAGCCCTTGAAGTGTGGCTAGTATGACTGAGAAACGAAATTTTAAATTTTATTTAATCTTCATTAATTAAAATTTATATTTAGATCACTGTACGTGGCTAGTACCCACTGTATTGAACAGTGCAGGTCTAGGGAAACTTAAATCTAGTCTGTGAACTTGATTCAAGACATGACTGTGAAATGACATGGACCCCGGATGCCATCACCTTGCAGAAAGCTTCCTCTTCAACATTCCCTGTGAGAGTGACAAATCAGTCTCGGAAATTTCCTTTTGGTGAAGGCTGATACGGAAACTGATGGGGCTTCAAGAACCTCTACTCTGAAATTTACAGCCTAGTCAACATCCTCTGGGACTTGAGGAGGGGTTTCTTGACACCAGGAAAGAACAGGCTGGGATGAGGTTACCAGTTCTCCAGGGCATATGGGTTCCTTTCTGGAGACTGAGGAAGGCTCAGGAAGGCAACACAGGTAATACCAGGTCATTTTACCCACTCCATGTCACCTGACTCAACAAATGCTCCTTCCTACCTGGGACCTCCTTCTGGGCTATAAGTCATGAAAATTATGACCATGGCAGCCAAGAGTAAGAGGTTTTTTTTGCAAAATCTGGCTTGAGACCAGAAGTATAACTATATGTTGAGGTGGGCCACAGATATGAGGCTGTGGAACAGTCCTAAGTATATTCGTCTGTGTTCCCACTCCTGTGCAGCTCTCTATGGCCCAAGGATTCATTCCACCTCAAGATAATGCAGAATCTTGGGGAACCCGACACACTCAGCAACCCCAGACAACAAGTACAACAAAAAAGGTTCTGTTTCTTTCGAAACAGCTAAGATTTCAAACTTTGTTTTCATCTTCAAATTAATCATTTTCTGGCCTTTGAAAAACCCGTGCCAGTTTGAAAACATATTATTTTTAAAAAAGAAAGTATACGTACATTTTAAAAACAGCAAACCACCTATTAGTGCTGGCAGTATGGCGAAAAGCACAAACCTGTGCCTTGTCTTGTCTGAAAAAAAAAAGAAAGAAAGAAATACAATTAGCTGGAACTGACCAAAACAGAGATACAGTTGATCCTCTTTATTTGTAGATTCCGTATTTGCAATTTATCTACTTGCTAAAATTTATTTGTACTCCCCAAACCAATACCTGCAGCGCTTTCACGGTCACGCGCTGACATGGGCCACAGAATGGTGAAACCTGTGTTGCCTGATGTACACATTCCCAAGCTGAGGTTCAAGGCAATGCTCTGCCCTTGTGTTTTAGCCCTTGTACTGTAGACATGTGCCCTATTTGTGGTCTATTTAGTGCCATGTGTTTCACATTTTTGTACTTTTTTGTTGTCTAGTTCACTGTCTAAAACGGCCCCCAAGCACAGTGCTGAAATGCTGTCTCGTGTTCCCAAGCATAAGAAGGCTGTGTGTGCCTTACAGAGAAAACACACATGTTAGATAAGCTTCACTTAGGCATCAGTTGTGGTGCTGTGAATTCACTGTTCATGCAGCAAGCACATATATTAAATAAGGTGTCTTTAAACAGAAGCACACATAAAGCAAGGTTCTGTATTGATTCCTTGCCAAAAATGTTGTGACCGGAGGCTTGCAGGAACCTAAACCTCTATCTCCCCTGGGAGCAATGGTTCACTATGCACTAATTCTGTGTTAACAGTGACAGTAAAACATAACTATCGTGAATAAAGAGAATCGACTGTGTTTCTAAATAAACGTATATGCACAAGGTTGATACATATCTGGCCCAGTGCTGTTTATTAAAAGCAGCAGATAGTCCACTATTCAGCCATCCTGTCCTGCCAGTGGGAGCACAGCTTGGTATCGTGTGCTTGGCAGGGCAATGTGGCAGCCATGCATTGCAAGCCTGAGAAATGTTCATCATACAGCCGCTGACACTGTGCTAAATGATGTGCCTACAGGCTCACCAAACCATTGCGACAACGCTGGATTAGTGCTCTATAACCTCTCAGTGCCTCAGTTTCCTCTTGGGGATCACTATAAATGGAACTGCTGAATATGCCTCCTAGGGTAATTGTGAGCATTCATTGAGTCAATACACTTAAGAACAGCTATTAGCTCTTGCCATGAACCTATTGAGTTGATGCTATTGGAATCTCTACTAACGTCCTTTGATCCTGCAATTCCATGTCTAAGATATTAACCTACAGAAACTATCAGTTATGTGCCCCTCTCCTCCCTCCAAAAAAGGCACAAAGATATTTACCACAGTCTTACAATATCAAAAAGCTGAAACAACCGAAGTGTCCACAATAGAAAAGAATGATGTGTGTTCATGAGGTGGACTCTATCCACCTACTAAAACTCTAAGGGCAGAATACTGAGCATATGGCAAAGCAATCACCACACATCGCTAAGCGAGAGGGTGGGGTCACTCACAGCAGGTACAGCCTGGAGGAGAGAGAGGGGAGAGGAGGAGAGAGGAGGGGAGGGGAGGGGAGGGGAGGGAAGGGGAGAGAGAAAACGAAAGAATGCATGAGAGTATGAACACACACCCTTTCCTCTTAGTAGGAACACAGGTGGGTTAGAGCAAATAGGCAATAATCCATTGGTTTGATTTGAGAGGCCCCTGGCCAGAAACCGCTAGTTGCTCCCCATACCCATTCTCCCCTCTTTAATAAAAGAATTCCGATTTTCAGCTGGGCATACCACCACTCCCCTAAAAGATTAGTTTCTCAGCCTTTCTTGTAGCAAGGTTTAACCATGTGGCAAGTTTTGGGCCGTGAGATGCAAGAAGGGTTGTGTGGTATTTCTCAAAAGTCTCCCTGAAAGGGGTAAGACACACCATCTTCCCCTCCCTGGGTCCCACTGCCTGAGATAGCAGGGAAGGTGCAGGAGCTGGACCACACAACTGCATAAAGTAGCAATGTGCCCAGGGCTGCCTACCTCCAATTATTATTATTTTTTAGTTGAGAAAAGTTCATCATTTATCCTTTTTTAAAAAAATTGGAGTATAGTTGATTTACAATGTTGTGTTAGTTTCAGGTATACAGCACAGTGATATACCTGTAAGATGTTATGGAGATGTAAGATGTTATGGAGAAACCCGAACAAACTTTTTGGCCAACCATATACATATATACACATATATGGAGATGTAAGATGTTATGGAGAAACCCGAACAAACTTTTTGGCCAACCATATACATATATACACATATATATACACACACACACATATATATATATTCTTTTTCAGATTCTTTTCCATTATAGGTTATTACAAGATATTGAATATAGTTCCCTGTGCTATACAGTAGGTCCTTGTTTATCTATTTTATATATAGTAGTGTGTATCTTTTTTTTTTTTTTTTTTTTTTTTTTTTTTTT